ACATGACACAATACATCATACTATATCTTGGTCAATTTAGAACACCAATGCCAATTTTAAAATCAAAAAATCTTGTGAGTTCATTGATTTGATGAAAATTGATAATATCTTTTATTTAAGGATGTTTGTGCAAACCTCTACAATTGGTTTACTTGATTAAGTTCCATAAGTAGGATATAACTGTTGCCTTCATTGTATTGGCCTCGAAGATAAGAGAATCCACAACATAACTTTTCTATTTGTAATTAGACAAAATTTAATTAATTTGATGTAATATTGTATGAAATATATTCCATTTCTTATGTCCATTCTTCCTTTCCTTTAATTTTGGCCGTGTGTTCTGTAGACCCACATCATTGGTTCGTTTGATCAAGAATACAAACAACTTCCCAGTCCATTATCATTCAACGGAAACGTCCAAAACACGCGGCAAAATTTCAGGCTTCGAGACACCTGGAACACTACGGCATGCCCTGTGCTGCCACGTTGATTCAATCTCAGCCCCCACACACCTCATCATTTCCAATCAAAAATGAAATCCAACCCAATCCAAACGCAATCCAGCTGACCGCTTGCCGTACACAAAAATAAGCAGCCCCTATCATTCCTTCAAACATATAAAACATAGCACCATCTAACAATTTTCTGCAGACCTGCATTCCAATGGCCAGCCTCACCACTGCAGCACTCACCATCCCTTCCTTCACCCGCCTAAAACCCGGACGCATGACATCCTCCATGCCTAGATCAATAAGCCATGCCAAGGCATCTCCAACCAAGCCGGAGGTGTCATTCCACGCCTCTCTAAAGCAAGTGGGTGCAGCTGTGGTTGCAACAACCATGACTGCAATGCTTGCGAGCAATGCTCTTGCTTTCGATGTGCTTCTCGGGGCCGATGACGGCTCGCCGGTTTTCGTCCCCAAAGAGTTCAGTGTGTCGGCCGGGGAACTTATTGTATTCAAGAACAATGCAGGGTTCCGTCACAACGTGTTGTTTGATAAGGATAAGATACCAACCGGCGTGGACTCTGCTGTCATCTCAATGAAGGCAGGGGAGCTGCTTAATGCGCCTGGGGAGAATTATGGCGTGACTCTGATTAAGAAGGGCAGCTATACTTTCTATTGTTCTACGCATAAAGGAGATGGTATGGTGGGCAAAGTGACCGTTAACTGATTTGAAGTTTTGCCTGAATCAAGTCATCTATATTCTGTAATTTTAGTGGATATGAGTAAAGAGTTCTTGTTTAGGGTGATTTGTCACCTGTGTTTTGTACCTCTAAACATAGTCTTTTTCTTAGAATATATATCTTTTTGTTTTCTTT